ATAACAAACGCTATAATTCTCAAAGAACGTCTCACGTGCTCGACAATACTCAGTTCAATTAGACATTCTCTGTCAGCATACATTCAATTACTCATTGTTCCGTCACGTTGTGACCGTCTTATATATACCAGACTACCCCAGTCTAGTAGTCTCACGATAATTCACGAAGGTTCGAGAAGGACGTGGCGTGATACTAGTCACGTGACCTCGCTGACGCAACAGTATTATTTTAGACTGAGGTTGAAATGAAAATTCTCTGCAGGGCTTAGCTTTTTCGTTTTAGTGCCTTGGATATACTAGTTCTTAAGTTCTCTCTTACAGTTTTCCATGATTTCCTAAATATTTCAAATAAATTGTAACTTAATTGAAATATTGAACTTATTTTCCATTTTAAGTATACTATGTTGATATTTTATAGCTGTCCTTGTATATATTTCTGACCCTCTGTTGTTGTGCACCTACAAGGGATTTGGCTTTGCGTTCGCGACCACCTTTTCTTAGCAAATACGGGGCTTTGTTGTAAAAGTTTCGGTCTTACAAATAATTTTAAATTGCCCACTAATGCCTTTATATTTGCAGAACACACATAACTTCTGATACTGTGAAACCAAACAGTGCTTCATCACAAAAACCAAATTCTAGCAAACTTCAAATGACGTGTGAACTATACGAACTAACAAAATATGACCTAGGGACAATGGCACGTAATGTGCTAGCATCAACCACGTTAACGCCATATTGAATCTCTTTCTGCTTGCAGAATATATTATGATCTCTTGAGAAACGACCCACTCTGCATTTTCTCCTTTCAAGAGCAGCTGTTCCGCGATTCCAGCAGTGGCTAGCTACGAGAAGAGTTGGCTTCTCACGGTGGCGTTAAGTATCTTCATGTTGAATGGAAGTGGTTAAAGAAGTGTAAGCTGCTGAACGTAGTTTACTTAAATCTCGAGCTATGTTTACATTACTGAGTTTTTACCAACATTCTATTCTACACTTAAACAAAAATCCCATAGCTGAAAGAATACGTTTTTATAGCTGTTCTGACGTATTTCTTTAGGCTACTAAATCCTACTTTACTTGCAGTATTCTTGCGTTTGTGTAAAGTTCACTCATACGTACTAAGTATCTCAGAAAAACACACATCTTATTAATTCTTGTTGTAATTATTTCTTTTTGTTGAAAAATTCAGCTTTTGTATTCGAAAAGCTATTGCCGTGTTTTGTTGGCATTTCAGTATAATATATTGTTGGCTTTACTTTTTCTGATGTTGATTCTTCGTGATTTTCACAAAAGTCTCTTCTATGTTCTCAGTGTTGCGTCATCGAGATCACGTGACTATTCTCACGCCCTCTACTTTCTAGAACTATCCTGTACTTTGGCGAATGCTCTAGCATTTACTAGATATAGGGTAGCCTGGTATATAAAAGAGGGTGACAACGTAACAATAAGGTAATGTGTGTAGACAGTGTGTAATTGATCTGCAGTCAGAGAGAGACGTATTGTTGTTATAGCGTTTGTTTTAGCGCGACTGTTGAAAATAAGTGTATCGTAAAGTTGTATTCGGAAAGAATAAACCAGTTTTATTAAGTAAGGACTTGTGTCGCTAAAGTTTCGTCGGAACGAAGTTACGGAAAGTGAATTAACAAACGGAGACGTAACATCAGCTTCAGTGAGCTTTTTATTTAACTTTATAGCTTGTAAGCATCATAAAAAGTTGTCCCCTGCTAAACTAACGAAGTTACGTATCACATGTACGAAACTCTGCATTTGTGTGTTATTAGTACCATATGGAATATGTTTTATTTATTTCAGTATGTACATGATAGAGTAATCGTATATTGACTGAAATCATGTCTCATATTTTTTTAACTACTGTAGCTGCTAAAAATGTCTAGCTTGCCACACGTCATAGCTTAACGTGGTCGTTTAACGACGGTGTATGTGTGTTGCTTTACTTCTGTATAGAAAGTGTGGTATTTTATTCAATTTTAGAATGCGCTGTACTTCGAGATAATATAGTTTGTTTTATGGTGCAAAACATAGGTGATTTCGTTGCTAAATCATTTCATTCATTTATTAATTATATATTGTCACCACCTCCTGTGAACCACCCAATAAAGATAAGTACATCGTGTATACTGACATCGTAAACACGTAAAGAGGAATACTTTATGTATGGGTTCCATGTTGTTTGCATCCTATTGTGGCTGTTCAAGTTAAATATATGTTTACTGTAACATGAACGTAATGTATCTGGATAAGTCCCCCAGTAGGACAACGGTAATTTTACGAGCTTACAACGCTAAAATCCGATTTCCCACAGTGGAGCAGACAGCCCAGTGTGGCTTTGCTTTAAAAAAAAACGAGAATCTGTATAAAGATCTAAATAATATTGAAGGATCAGCAACTAAAAAATAAACAAATTATCTTGCATAGTTTCTGTCATATTTTGTTTTTTTGCCCCAAGGAAATGTGCTATAGCATTTGATCTCATATATATAACCAGAAGCCAAAACTATTAAGGACTTGAACCCCCACAGTAACATAAAAACAAGAGCATAAAAAAAGGGATAAATGTTATCTATTACCATATGTAAAAATAATTATGATTATTAATACAAAGTAAATGTAATATGTATTTATCTCTTACAAAGCAACCAAAATTGTTTAGTCAAGTTTCTGTAGAAATATCGTAGTTTGCACTATTAATTGTTCTTATTAAATGGCAGTTTAATAAGTAGAGTGCACATACTGACACCAGTTTAATTAACTCACTTAAATTCAGCAAAACATACTGCTTATCTTTCTTGATTCACAAGAAGCTACACATTTTAAAACAGCAGATTTCCCAAGATCTTTTCTTTTACCTCCAGATAACCTATAGGAAAGAGGCATTTCCTGTCTATTGATATTCACCCAATATGAATATAATCATCTAAATATTTGTTTCAAGCTTTTAAAGAGTTGTCTAATAATTACATGAGAAATATTTAACATTGGACAGCTTGTGGTAGGCTTTATCATTTTTTGTTTTATTACTTTTATTGAAATTTACTTGAACAACATACAGGTTGTTTTGGTCTTCTTGTATTTCACAAACTTTCAGTTCAATTGCCTGATCCTTCACCAGTTGTCTTGCCAGATGTTGGACATTCAGTTAAGTTGGAATATAATAAATTAATACTCATGTTATAATCTTCAAATGTTCTTTTTATTGTTTAATTCAAACTTCAAGATGTAACCCATTTTGATTACTACAATGTAAAGCTTTAGTTTTGTTTTGAGTCAATAAGCAACTCATTCTCATCAATTGGTCATTTTTATTTTCCTGTTTTATAATTTGATGTAGCATGTAAGTTGGGTTTAAATCCAACAGTGAGCAGACCAGGAATAGTTCATTGTGTAGCTTTATGCTTAACAACAACTAAACAAACCATGCAAGTTCTGGGGACCTGTGGTATAAAGAATATGAAGCTGTCTCAAGAAGTTCATACCATGCTTGTAAATTATCTAAATGTATCATTTACTTTGAATTTTTCATAGAATACATCAGAAATTATTTGCTCTGTCTTTTATAAGTGTTTACTAAATATAGTGTTGATAAAACATTACTTGGACTGGCAGTTACAGAAATTTCAAAATAAATGCTTAAATTTTGTTATGAAAAACGAATAGAGTAAAATTACATCAGTAATTATTTATGTTATTTGACTGGTAATTAAAATTATTTCAGCATTTTCTGAGTTGTATGTTCATGTAATAAAATTGATTTTTGAAGATTATAATAAAATCTTAGAAAAATAAATGTTAAATGATTTTTAAATTCTGCTATATCTTTAATGATTTGTTTTTGGTTTCATTTACAGGTGACTACAGAATTAATGGAAGCCTCATATCATGCAACAAGCAAACATTTAATAATCTACTGAAGCCTCTGCCTACTGTGAATTCTAATATTTTACAGAATGGAAATCAGTTTGTAGAGAAAAAAAGTAGGAAGTCTTCAATTGATGAGGGCAACAAAAGTAGCCCAGACACTCAAAACAGCAATAATAAAGAATGTTGTGATAAATCTGTGTATGATCATCCAGCCTTTCTTCAATGTGAAAGCAGTATTGAACAAGATATTGCCGATATCATAGATCAAATAACAAAGTCTCAGGCTGAACAAAAGTTTGAGAACAAAACTCATTATCCAGAAATTTTAGATCCAACTGTGTCAATTCAGAAAGTGCAGAATTGTGCACTAACATCATTACCATCTAAAATTATACAAAACTGTGATCAAAAACCTACTTCCTCTGATGTGTCACACGCATCGATAAAGTATAACTCTGTTAAAAAATGTGAACAAAAACTTGGGACTTTCAATATATTGCCACAAACATTTTCTTCTCATTCTGTGAATTTTTTTAAAAAGGAAGATAATTTCCTTGACTCATTATATCCAAAAGTATCATCTCATTCTGAAAAACATTGTGAACCAAAACAAAGTTCTCTTGATACTTTTGAATCAAGGATACTTGTTCACCCTATTGAGAAAATAAAACAAAAACGCATTGGTGTTGTAGACCCAACTGTACGATCTCAAAGTATAAGAAACGATCATCAAAAACCTAATACTTTAAGTATTGTTGACTCCTTAAAACAGCATTATTCTTTACAAAAAGGTGAGGAAAAACATGCTTCTCTGAAACTTCTTAATTCCAAAGAACCATTTAATTCCATAAAAAAGTGTGAGAAAGATCCAATAATTTTATTTCCCACAGAACCTAAATCCAGAAGTAAGTCAGAATATCTAGACAAACATTTACTTGTGTGCACTACTGCATCTGCAACTATTACCTCGATAAAAACTACCAACTCAGGTTCTTCAGTGCTCCAAAACCGTCACCCACATCTGCCTCCTGTAGGTTGTGTGGCACCTAATCCTCGAAGTTCAGCATCTATTCAACAACCTCTCAGGAACAGTAATGGATACCATCTTACTTCTTTCAGTACTTCTAGTGTAATTAATGTAGACAACAACAGATACATTTCTAATCACACCTTTGAAACATCTTCTGGGTGTAAAGAACACTCACCTATTAATACTGTTACAAAACAACAACTCAGTAGAACTCACCCCTTGAAACACTCCTCAGTTGCTTCTCCTTTGGCCTCATCACAACCACATAAAAGGCCTTCTTCTACTTTGTCCACTTCCTGTCTTCCTACTACGTCATTTGCATCAACATCATCTGTAACTAAAACAAATTTGGCATCATCACCACCTTCTTCTGTTGTTTCAAATTGCTCTAGTTTACGTGTAGTCAGTGACGAGAGTCATCCATTGCCAGTGAAGGACTCAAGTCCTCCTAGAAGGACTACCCAAGATCATAGGTCATTCTCCTCTGTTACCAGACAAGACTGCTTCAATGGCCAACTTATTAACACCTTGTCAAGTGTAAACCAGCTAAGCAAGTCTCTTCATACCCAAGAGTTTAGAAAAGAAAATCAGAGTAGTATAATTACCAGCACCAGTGACACTCTTAGCTCTAGGCATTCTGTTCCATGTTGTACTTATACCACTGCAAGTTTGGGCAGTACTGGCCTGACTAACTTGTCTTTTTCCAAACCTCATTTGTGGACAGGGTTAGTGATTGGGAAACAGTGTGTTTTTTGTCAATACACAAAGAGTTATTTGGGTTTACTTTTAAAATTTCTGAATTTTAAGATTTTTTAAGCAAATGGTGATGGGTTTGAGAGACTATTGGAGATGTGTGTTTCCTGTATTTCAGAAAACATTTAGAGGTAATTGAAAAACAAAGAATTATTTATAAAAAAGGGTATCAGTACGTTTTGGAAGCATAACATAGTGTTTTAAGTATATATGTATGTATTTAGGACAAAGGTTAGAAACCCTATAACCCAACAACTTCTAAAAGTTCTATCTCTCAAAACTCTTGGGTTATAGTGTTTCTTATTTTTGTATTTAATTGATCTTTTTAACCTAAATGTTTCTTAATATCATGTCTACATATTAGGGTGGTCCTTATTTTCAAGTTAAACTTCAGGTGGAAAATTGTAAAGCTCTCACCTCATAATTTTGTTAAAATGTACAAAAAAAACATTAAATGTCAAACTTCATCCATTTTGGACTATATATATAGAGGTTGCTCAATGAGATTGAAGTTCTAGACTGTAGTGGCCTGATACCATATGTACTATGTGATATAAAAACATGTTTGTTATGTATTATAAATAATTTTTTTAATATATATTATTATTATGTTGCATGTACAATATTAAAATTACACAATATATGAATTTGTATATGATTTTGGTATGGTTAGTCACTTTTGCATTGTTATTGTTTCTTTTTTTGCTTTTAGGAAAGTTTCTTTTATAATCCTGCACAAATTTAAAGAGGAATTGTTTCTGTTCTTCTTTCTTAGTTATAAAGCATTATACTCCTCAGTAAAGCCACACCCCTTTCAGCAATGTCATTTACCACATTCAGGTGTTGAATTGATTGTAGTACCTCCCTGTAGTCCTCTCTGAAACTCTGAAATCCCATTCCTTGGGGTCATAATCCAGAAATACGGATGGAGTTTCGAGACACCTGAAAAATTCTGTTGTATTCTTTGTGATGAAATCTTTAACTGACATGTCCTCAAGACTTTTTGATATTCAGCTGGATGTGCCTTGGAGGTTCATCCATGCCTTCCTTCTCATTTGGTGCTTTTAATATTGCTCATTTTGTATCTGTGGATACAGCTGAATTCAAAAATGCATACATTTGCATACATAAATATCCAGCAAATTTTTTACAGGCAGATAGACTCAAACAACAAAGATGTAGATATCACAGAGTTTTCTTTCCTCATGTCCAGTGAGCTTGAACCTTTTCATAAATATTCATATCTTGAGAGCATATAATGCCTTGGCCATCCATTATGCATGATGCAGTGCTCCTGGTGGTATAAATTGTATTCTACGACGAGGGATGCCACCAAGAAAGATTATGGCTGGTTAAATAAGTACTTATTAATTGTTTCGAGGTTGACTGACCAGAAGTTATCTTGTACAGATTCTAAAAAATACTGTCATGTCATAGGAAATATTCCAGAACTAAAAAGTGACAACTTGGAATATTTATATATAAAATGCTCTTTAACATGCTGAATAATGTGGAATTCTCTTGAATATTCCATAATACGCTACACTATTTCATAATGTGCTAGAATATACCATAATTATATTCCAGAATATTCTAGGTACTTCTAGAATTATTTATAATATTTTGGAACATTCTAGAATATGCACATATTATGGGAGCTACAAGGTAAAAATTACAACTAACTTGAGTGACCCCTAAATGTTATTCAATATGGAAAATATTAGGTGTGAATTACTTATTTATATATTGAAACAAAATGAGTGGGTAAGAGTGTGTAAATCAAAATTTCAAAAATAATGACCACCTTACTATATATATATTTACAGTTTTATCAAAAACATCACATTATTTCTGTGAAATGTCATATTAAGCTACTTTTCAACTAAAATCAATAATTAAGTACCTAAGTAAAAAATATCCAAATTAAACTACATGTTCTACTGTGCATTATTAGTGTATACTTTTGAAAATGCCTTTATCTGTTCTATATTCCATTTTTAGAGCCAGTTCGGTTCTTGGAAGTGTCAACGAGGCTCATCTTGCATCTGGGCTGCCAAGACCAACTCCTTCAGGACCTAGCTCTACTTCCTTGTCAGTCTGGAACTCCCATCATTCCTCTCTTTACAATACACTTCCAGGAATGTTTGCACCTGCTATCCATCCAGCAGTCTCCTTATCATCCACAAGTCTTTCGATGGTAGCAACACCAGGACCATCTCTTTTTAATGCTGAATCTCTCTTCTCTTCTCCAAGTTAGTATCTTACGTCTTCATTTTCCATTTACAAGATAACATGTTTTAAAAGTTCACAAACATGTTAAGTTGATTTTTATCGTTGAATGTTCATAAAAAGGTTTAGATAATGAAAACAGATTATTTAATGATTTTGGTACAGAAAGTTTGTATTTAAATACCGGCTAAAAGAAAACTAGCTTATGCTAGTCTTGTACAATTGTGGTAGGCTGAGTTCTTAAAAACTCTATTACTAGCAATTAGTTACAAGTTAATCCTTAGTTCAGTCTGTGAAGCATTTTCTTGTAGTGGAAGTATGCCTGGTCTAGAATCCTACATGCAAAAATTTAACTTGATACAAGAAAAACTGGCACCCAACTTTTTGTGGTTGTCCCATTATCCTGAGATAAGACCTGAGGATGGGCTTTGTTTGTAAGAAAGGAAGAATGTAGTATTTTGATTTGTTAAAAAATAAACGACTTACCAGTATTAGCTAGTGAGTTAATCATTTACCTCAGTTGGTGGACCACTCACCTGGCATCTAAGAGGCCTCTAATTGAATCTTTGCCAAGTAAATGAAAAAAGACTTATATTACCACACAATAAATCTTTGTCAAGCAGTTGTACTGTTCCTCTAACTGTGTATTTTAGAACTGTACTACTAGTTGATTAAAGATGAATGCTTGAGATGTTATAATAAACTTTTTATATCATTGGATCAGTAATATAGTGAACATTGTTCTTTTTAAAACCTACCATTTATTAAATATTCAGTAATGGATTATACTTTTTATAACCTCAAAATGATTGTTTGAGACTTATGTGTTAACAATGATATTTGTTCCTAAGTAATTCCTTGTGCAGCATTTGTTTCCCAAACAATCCTAGAAATTTTAAATATAGGTAATTGTGTGCAATAATCTTAAAACAAATCTCTAAAAAGATAACTTTTTCTTAATTCCATGACAAAAAAAAGTGGACAGTTTGCCTTTAAATCTATAAAGAAAGATGTTTATTAAAATAATTTGTTTATATGTTTAAAACATTTTTCAAATAGCATGCTATTTTCTATAGCTAATAACTGTAACATAAGGAAAGAGCTGCTAAACATTTTTATTCTGTAGAGTAAAAAATAGTATGTTTTTGTAGAATCATATGGTAGAGAAAAGACATCATTCTGAGTAAAATTATGAAGATGGTAATTTTTGCATTTTATTTTAGTGTGTTTTACTTTTGTTTTCCGCTATTTTAAAGAATATAAAATTGCCTTGGATGTGTACACTTATCACAATGTTAACTGAAATAACAAATCAACTTAGAAAGATAAATAGATAAGATCTGTGTACATGCAGCCTAACAAGTGCTATTTAGATTTATAGGTTACATAAAAGGTATTATATTGCTTTTATAAACAATTTCAGTATCAGACAATAGTTCTGTGTATAGCTACTTAGTTTTGTACAATAGAGCATGAAAGTTTAAATCAAATTCAAATACCTCAATTGTGAATGAAAGCTCAGTAGCACTTTGTTGATTGTTTAATCTCCACATTTTTTGAAGAATCAAAACTTGAATTTATCTTTTTTATTATCTATTTACTGCTAAAAGGTTGAAAAACTGTATCCACAGTGCTTTCAATACCAAGATGACATAGATTGTTAATATGAGAAATTGAAATCCTAAATTCAGCCAGTTCCACATAAATGTGTAAATGCTAATCGATATTGAAAAAACTTATGTGATCAAGCAATAATGTGTAAAAAGTGCAATCACACATATTGTTCACTAGAAATACAAATAATTCATGTTCCATACGTTAAGATATTTGGGGTGGCTAAGAAGCTGCAGATTTACAGGGAGATTTAGATCATTTGATGCAATCCATCAATACATGGCAGGTGCTGTTTACTTATCCAAAATGTAAGGTGATGCCTGTAGAGTTCCACAATTAGAATTATTGTTACAAGTTAAATGGCTGTAGAAATATTGAATATAAGACAAAGGATATTATTGTTTCACTGTAAAGGTCACTTGTAAGGCCTTATTTAGAGAACTGTATACAGTTTTGGACTTCATTCCTCAAGAAGGACATTGAATTGTTGGAGAAGGTTCAGTAAAGAACCACTAGGATGATACCTGGGATGGTGGGATTGTCCTATGAGAGGAACTAAAATCTCTAAATTTGTTTTCTCTGGAAAGAAGGTCAGAGGGGATTTGATTGAAGTGTTTAAGATTATTAATGGCATTGATAATATAGATACATCAAACTCTTTTGGTGTTTAGCAGTGAAAATGATAGGACAAGGGGTTGTTACGACAGCGGAGTCACGTGATGCTAGTAACACGTCATGAACTTCTAGAAAAATCATGTCCCTTCGTGAAGCCTCGAGCGTTTACTAGATTTTCGGTATTCTTGTATATAAGACCGCCAAGAAGTGACTGCAACAATGTAATTGAATTGCAGACAGAGATTAACAATTGAGCCAAACGCGTGAATCGTTTGTTCGTTGTGAAATATAGCGTTTCTTTAAGTTATAGCGAAACTGTGGAAATTAAGTGTATTACAAAGTTGTATTGAGAAAGAATAAACTAGTTTTATTTAAGAAAGGACTTGTATCGCTGAAGTTTCTTCAAAAAGAATTTTTACAGAAAATTAACTAACGACCAGAGACGTAATTAAATTGGTGTCAGAGAGTGGGACGGAAAAGAAAAAAAAAATGGAAACAAGAAGTGGCAAATCAAACTACAGCTTAGCAGATTTGATGGCAGCAATACAAGAACAACAAAAGAAACAAGAAGAACGAGAAAATAAACAAGAAAAGAAACACGAAGAGAGACAACAGCAGTTGCAAGAAAACCTGCAACAGTGGCAGCTCGAACAGCAAAATAAACAAGAAGAGAGATTACAGCAGTTGTTGGAGGAAAAAGAAAAGAAACAAGAAGATTGAGAAAAGAAACAATAAGAGAGATTACAGCAGTGGCAAGAAAACCTGCAATAGTGGCAGCTCGAACAGCAAATTAAACAAGAGAGATTACAGCAGTTGTTGGAGGAAAAAGAAAAGAAACAAGAAGAACGAGAAAAGAAACAAGAAGAGAGATTACAGCAGTGGCAACTGGAACAAGAAAGGAAACAGGAAGAAAGTCTCCAACAGTTGCAGGAAAGTCAACAACAGTGGCAAGAAGTACAATTGGAAAACATTAGTAAATTTCAAAGCGAATTAAATATATTAAAGGATGATTTATTGTCTTTTACACAAGGAGGATACATTAACCATCGACTTAATCAGCCCAAGACAATGGCAAGCCCCTTCCAGACCCCGCATCTAAACCCTCATGCAGACATCTTTAGTCCTGTTAGAAGTCACATCCCAGATATGAATGTCAGCAATAGGGGTGATCCAGTACGAAGGAAGCCACAGGAATTCGATG